CCACCGCAATACTTATGCTCTTGAGAGAAGCCACTAGTGAAACCTATGGCCCCCGGGTCTATCTTCCATCATATTAATCTTCCAATAATTAGTTATTTCCTTTGTCGTTTATTTTACTTTGCAGCTTTATTTCTCTTTATCATAAAAATACCAAAAATATTATCTTAGCATATCTATCAGATCTCACTCTCGTAAGTGACCATGAAGGGATTGACAACCCCTTTATCGCGTTGGTTGCGAGGTTCTTATTTGTTTGCGTAGGTGTGTGGGACTCGAGCATGATCTCCTACTGGATTGATACCTTGGTTCTCAAAAACTGAGGGAAATACTTATGCTACTTTACTGCATCACCCTTTCCTCTTCAAGGGAAAACCAACGCAGTGCTCAAGAGGTAGCAGGGCACAGGTCAATTATCAGGGTAGATGGTGTCGTTTCATACGAGCACTTGCTCTCATATGGGCGGTCGTTTTGACCCCTGGCGGCTCCAATAAGCCCAAGAAAGAAGGTAAATCACCCCATCTCTTCTTCTTCTTCTTCTTCTTATTATTATTATTATTATTATTATTCTTCTTCTTCTTCTTCTTCTTCTTCTTCTTCTTCTTCTTCTTCTTCTTCTTCTTCTTCTTCTTCTTCCTCCAAACCCTAGTAAAACTTCACCCGATCTTTGCTCGTCCGATTTCGGTTCAAATCATTCCGTGTGATCGATCTACAACATGTTTCTCCTATGATCCCCAATTTATTTTTCACGAATCCACGTTCTTCATGCCTAGCATTGCCATGACTAGGATATTGATCCAAAATTGATTTTGGCTTGGATTCGTTGATGCTTTTAGAGGAGTATGATTTTGTGACTACCGTAGGATCAATAGTGTTTAATTGTATTGGACTGAAAAACTGTTTTGTAGATGTTTACAAGGATATCTACTCACGTACGAGGTGCTTCACACCGCACCGCCACAAGAAGTTCTCACTCAAGGGGTCGTTTTCACCGACCATGAAGAAGGAAGAAATTCCAAAAACTCAATAAAAGGAATATCAAAGCAACCAACTGGGCTTATGTGACAACACTCGCCAAGCTAGGTATTACTAATGCTTACAATTTGCTTTGTCATAATCTCAGGTTGCATCATTTTGTTTATCAGAGATGTGAGACATATGAATGCACGACGTTTGAGTTTCTCAGCACTCTCTCGCACAATGTTGGTTTGGTGCTAAATGCATATGAGGAAGAGAGGATCACTTTCCGTCTCCTGAATCAAGATTTCAACATTACTCTCAATGAGTGGTGTAATTACTTTGTCTTCCCCAACAACGATGATGATCTTCGACATGTTTATGTTTTCACTGACCCGCACCCAAGGCTTCTACCGTATGGGTCATCATGGCTCAAGGCAAAGAGCCAGTTGCATTGAAAGTATAGGTTATTTCTATTATGTTATCACAAACTCGTTGCAAGCACAAGGAGAAGTTTCAAAGGTGAATGATGAGAACATGGTAGTTCTCGGGAAAGGAGCAAACATTGACGTCGGTCATTCGCCCAACCTAGGGGCAATGCTTTTGCTACACCTCATGCATCAAGTAAACAATGCACAAGGAGTTACCGTGTGTGGAGGAGCGATCACCATGTTGTCCAACTCCCATGGCCTCAACTACAATCACCTTCACCCCATTTTTGGTATCACCCTTGTTAATATTCTTGTTCTTTCTAGATCTGGAATGGTAATAGTTCGTAATGGTCGTCATTATATAAGAATTCCTAGAGTGGCATACTTGTTGCCCACTCCTATGCCTAACCGTTTTTCCATAGAATATGGACAACTGCATTATGTCGCACAGGAAGGAGATGCAATTTTTGACCAAGAAGGGCCAGAAGCAAAACAAGTTGACGAAGAATATCTCGCCACAAGAAGAGGAGCAGCCTCAAGGGCAGCCACAACCAGGAGACTACACCACCTATGCGGACCTCAGTAGCCTCCACAACTCTATTAATGATATGAGCAACCTCGTTGTGTCCCTTCGAGTCACATCCGCCTGCATGAACATGAACTTCTCCAACTGGAGCGAAGGATGGTCTCCTGCCCAACTACCACAATGATGCCATCGGTTTGAGCTAAGCTTGGGGGGGGGGGGGTCATAACCACTTCTACATCAAGATGTGGCAGTATTACTTGAATAAATTATAATGATGTTGTACTTAAGCTCATGAAGCTTCAAAACACTCGTGTTGGTTTTTCCCAACACTTTACTTTTTATTTTCTTTCATTTTTCTGTTTGTATTTGCAATTTTTTGTTTGGAAGTTAGTTTTCAAAAACTCAAAAATAAAAAATAGAATGATTTTTGCTCTTACTCTTTATTAGGCTCCTTGGAGCTCATTTTGCATTTTTGTTTTCAAAGGAGTTGATCTATGTCGGACAACGAGGAATGCAAGAGTAAGGAAAAGAAGTGTGTAAATTCGCAACCGTGAACGTATGTCCTACGACTCCCGTCTTTTGCACTTGAAATACTTAGAGTAGATGTAGTACTATATGTGATATGTGCAAATGGTAGTAAGTCTTGATAATTAAGACAAATGTTTTGTTCTAGTAGTTGCAGTAATTTTGTAGCCTTTGTACTTTTTAGTTTAGACAACCAAGACTTGCTGTGGGACTGCTTTTCATTGAAATGATCTTAACTAAGAATAACCATGCACAAGAGAAAGTCTTGAAAGACTTGGGAGTTGATAAAAAATGTAGAAGAAATGATGTTTGAAATGCTCAACCCCGTGTTGTTAATTTTAATATAATTGATAGCACTTGTGGATTAACTTGTCTAGAGGAACTTAGTTGAAAGTAAACGAGATTGTGCCAGAAATATGTGTTGTATGTGTTACATGGTGCTTCGGCTCCTTGTTGGTTCCATGGCCCTGCTACTATATGCATGTGTACATGTGTAAATGTGGCTTTGTCACCTTTCTTGATATTATGCTGAGGACTCTGCTAGCCAATGAACGATCCACCAAGAGAGAAAGCTCGAATTTTGGCTATGAGTTTGTTACCGTATGTAGTGGCAACACTACAAACGCATATTATTTGGCTTTCTTTTGAATGGGTGTGTATGTGGTAAATAAAGGGGGCTGATCAAATGACCTCAAAAGATACAAATAAGGTCCATAGTTCCCAAACATTAAGTCACATCCCAACTCTATGCATGATCACTTATTTGGCATAATCCCTTTACGTGACAACAAAAGTTCTAGCAAACAATGATTGAAATAAAGTGCTTAAGAGCCTTGAGGATGAAATAATTGTGGGTGTGTTTATGAGCATTAGAGCATCGATCATATGCTTCTACATGCTTTTCACTCCCTAATATATGGTTTCATGGCTCCATCAAAGAAAACTCTTTCGTGCATTCTCGGCAAGCAAGTGTTGTCTAGAATAAATAGAATGAAGTGTTGCAAAGTTATTTTATCTAGTAGATCGTGAACTTTGTATTGATTATCTTTGCTTCACCAATGATCGCACAATAACCATGCCACCACTACAACTAAGCTACGCTTTCAGGTCAAGAAGCGGAGGTCTATCTAGTCGTACCGATCATAAATGGACCATAACCTTCTCGTTATTTTGGTTTAAACAACTGATTTTCTTATGATTCAGATTTCTCTCTATGTTGCTCGAGGACGATCAAACGTGTCAAGTGGTGAGTCCAGCTGTCACCACATGTCACGTGTTAGACGCTTCATGTGGAATGTTTTTAACATGCGTTTTCGGATTTTAGATGTTTTTTGGCTTCTGACTGTTTTTTCTAGGTTTTAGAAATTCCTTCTCGTAGAGCACATTTGTGTTTCATGGGAAAAAATTGTGTTTCCATGAGAAGCATGGTTGTGTTTCTCGTGGTCATGAAAGCACATATTTGCTTCCGTGAGAAGCATTATTTGTTTTTTTA